GCGTGCGTGCGTGCGCGCGGGTGTGTGTGTGTGTGTGGCGGGCCGAATCCATAACTCCCGACGTGGACTATTGCTGTTCGCAGAGTCTGATGGATCACGAGCGACGACGGCGACTGCTTCGCCCCTGCGACTGCTACTCCCCCTTTTCCTTCGCCATCCCCGTCTGTTTCTCCTCCTACAGCTGCTGCTACCACCACCACCACGACCACTACTACAACTACTACGGCTACTACCACGAGTACTGCTACCACTACTACTGCTACCAACTAATAGCGATATCTGGAACCCGTAAACATCATCACGGCCATTGTTTGAACACACGAACCCGGACCTGCAAAGCCTGCCGTCTTATGATTATGCCTCAGGCTCCGCGTCAAATCAAGTTTTGAAGCTTACGGATCATGTCAGCCCGAAAGAACCCAGATACGCTAAAACCAAAACCCTCTATATAGATCCTGCACCTTACAAAAGACGATAGAAGACCAGTTCCATCTCCGAGCCCCGCACTGGGTGGCTTTCTGTCAACGGCTGGTCCCTGGAAGCAGCTCCGTTTTTGTCAAAGGCTGGAGGATACCAGAAGGTCTCAAGGACATGGTTGCGGTGCACTTCTGGATTTGTCTGCGTCATCGTTCGGTAAAGTTCTTTCTTTGCTGCATTTCGGCCTATTTAGCCGTGGCTGTGGACAAATGGCTGTGCGCCTCCGTGTCGCACCCGTGAAAAAGCAGAACATCGCAGGCATCGCAGGAAGTCCCACGTCATCTCCGCTTCAGTCCGAACTACTCATGTCAGGCTGCACCGCAGGTTGCAAGCTTCTGAATCATCCCTTATCTTGGGAACCAGATGACCCTTATACGCGGAGGGGCCCCACACCCTTATACTATGAATCCCTATAATAGTCTATGAACCTTACAACCCGTTTGAAGTTAATTTCTTCCTTAATTCAGGTACTTCAGACTCAAAGTTTATGCCCGCTGCAATCTGGGCTTTTAGAAACATTTAAAAACTTTATGAACCCCGCACCCAAAACGACCCCAGGAAAACAGCAAATAAACATATATCGAGAGGTGTGCCGGAACCTCTGCCGGAGCGGTCCCGAAGCGGGGATCCATCGCGGACGGGGGTCCTTTCCTGGCCTGGACAAGGTGTTTCTTCATATCTTTAAAGGTTTAGGGTTTGGGAGGGTTCTGGGTGCGGCAATGATGATTTATTCGGCATCATGCGTTCGAAGACATGGCGGAACACTCCTATCTCTGCCAGACCCGTGTCTCTGCAGGATTAAGATGTCCGGAAAGCGGGGAGTCTCAAAATCTATGTCGAAAGCCGAAGTAACCCGTGGGCCATCAGGGTTCTGGCTTCAAGGTCTTGGGTTCATGTTTTTGGTCACTTGTGAAGCTGCATCTCCGCAACATCTTACGTTGCAACGCTGCCGGTGGCCAAGGCACATGTTCCATTATTACTATTGTTACTTAACGGAAATATTGCTGTTATGACTTGAGGGTAGGGTAAGTTAGATTTTGACGCATACGGTCCGAAAAACACCTGAACAGGAACCAAGCCATCTAGCATACTTCGACCAATTGAAATTTCCAACCCATGTATAGTGCCCATAACGCTGCATCTTTTTTATGCCCTTGTGAAAAACACCAAGCCAGATTTTGTGCCTCTGGGGGCATACCAAGACCAAAAGAGTGCGGCAGGTCTTTGCGAGCCTGTCCCGACGAGCTGTTTGGGGTGCAGGGGTCCAAGTTCGAAGAGCTTTACTTGTACCTAATACACAGTTTTCGGCGACAGCAGGGTGGCTGAAACTCGGCTCGGGCTTCTCATCTGATATCTGATGACGACGGTGGCGCCATGGCGGAGATAATGATGGCAGTAACGGTGGGTGGCACTGATATTTGAAGGAAAGAGGAAACTCATTGCAGGTCATAGAGATTTTTGAGATACGATGACTGTCGTCGCGGAGAGCATGTTCATATCTATGCCACATGACAAGGATGCTGTTGGTCCGTGCGTACCATCCCATTTGCGGATCTTGGTTGTTCCGAACAGCTGTCACAACCAGCAGCAGCATTCTAATCACCAGGATGTTCGAGGTGAGTAGTGGTCGCTTTGCTTTTGCCTCTTAGGAGAACAAGAGCGCATGGACGAAAACTTGGAGCGCCATCAAGCCTAGGAGGCGGCATTCCTTACCAAACTCACTCATTGCGATTTAAAGTTATTATTCACATCTCTTGTTTCGCTCGCTATGGCACTTAATTATTCGCGCTCAGTGTCAGCTAGCTACTACCTAAGATGAAACATGCCGCTACTATGTACCCTGTCTAAACACACATACATCTGCCATCACTGGTAATCAGCACATTCGTCAGCCAGTCAAATTCATAGGCATACATACCCTTCCTGTTCCGTTTCCTGGTGTGGTTCTCTTGCCGTCTCCTTCCCCATCCCAAACCCTAAGACCGCCTAAGACCTATTCGTTCTACGGCTCGCCGTAGCACCTCCCAGGCTGATCCAAAGCCAATGTCGTTCCAAGCCTGTGCGCAAGAGGCTTCTAAAAATGAAGCTAATACGCTGAAGAGAGTTTTGGGTATGCCATAGAGAGGGATACAGGGATCTTGTGCGAGGCTTACGAAGTCTGCAGTAGCTCGTGGCACGAACCGGGGAAAGGGGGAGCCCTTGGCGTTCCTCGAACCTTTTCGAGCTGCTTGGAAGAAATCGGAGGAAAGGCCTCAAGTGTGAGTGTGTGCCGTCAGGTCGTATCCAGAGTCTCACATTCTAGGGCTGTGAGACTAGAAGGTGTGCGCAGATCCGGGGCATTGTGTCTTCTCCATCTTTGGGAAGTGGCACGTTGTTGCCATCTGATTCCCTTAAAGATGCTTGTTCGCACTCGCGCTCGACGGGTCAGGTGAAGTATGGGAGGCCAACTAGCAGCATGCTTTCCAACTACATCTCGAGCTACAGGCCTGCCTGACCCATCCCCAGTCGCTTAATTAGAGAGGCCGTGAAATCGCCAAGGACCTTGCGGTCAAAACTGAAACCCAAATCGTACGGGGACACGGACATACTTCCCGCCACTATGTGGGTTGCCATTTGCAGCTCGGCTGTCCAGGCCTCTGTCATGCTCGGTGGAGCTTGGAACGGCCTGCACGCTTTCAGTACAGTAGGGCTCTATGGGGTTCTGGAAGTGTGCTCCGAAAAAAAAAAGGAAACACAGACAGTCATCCAACGCGCTGCAGGGTTCGTGCCATGTAGGCAAGTGCAGGACGCTGAACTTGGTTGTGCCCTTGCACATCCCTGCTCTAAAGAGCCGTCGACGATGATCTGCTGACCATGTCGTGGTGGGAATCTAGCAACAGCTTGGATGTGTGAAGGCAGCTTGCCGATCTGAAATTGCAACGGGAACCCTTAACCACGCCGAAGGCTTGCCTGTGCATCTCAGGCTGCGTGTAGGAAGCGAAGGAGCCGGGCTGCATTGGGCTGGGCTGAGGCTGAGGCTGCCTGGAGGAGGTCGGCTGGAGGCCGTGCAACTCGAAGCATAGGGTTTACTTCGATGTGGGCGTTTACTTTAGACCTCTAGGACTCTAGGACCTTGAGGATTGCGAAACCCATCTACGTGCAAAGTGTGCGATTCCGGGCCTGGGACTTGAGGCCTGATACAGGGGCCTTGACAACAAGAACAAGGTTACGGTTCTGTGATATGTGAACTATGACTATATTGAACTTCAGGGACTAGTGCAGCTAATTATTCCGACCCCTCCATGAGAGGCCTTACCATTTTCCCTGTCCATGCGAAGCTCTTATGCTCCAATGGGGCCAGTCCCCAGAGCTTCTGGCAGGTTCCTGTGTTCTGCGCCCCCCAACGAGGTCTCTGTTGCTTTGGGGGCTACCGACAATCCCGAACCCTAAGCCCTAAATGCTACACCCGAAACCCTGCCCTGGGATTTGCGGGTTTGCAGGAGCCTCCTGGATCTAAAGCCCTGTGAACATCCGGGGTTGCCGAAGTCAAACCGTATGACATCTTCAAACCCTAACATCGCAAAACTTACATGTTGAACCCTGATAGACCTAAGCCACAAAAGAGTCATAAAACAAACAATGATGATTATACGCACGGAGATGAATGAATATCTAACTATCTATCTATATATATGTATGTGTGTGTACATCCTCTATATATGAATATATATATATAGGTATATATATATATGTATATACACATATATATATATATAGGCATGCCAGCAAGCAAGCAAGCAAGCAAGCAAGCAAGCAAGCAAGCAGACAAGCAGGCACACAAACAACCAACCAACCAAACAAGCAATCGCGCAAACAAGCAAGCAAAGAAACAAATATAACCATAAATGAATATAGTTATCATCTATAAACATGTATGTATACATAAATATAGACCAGTTACTACAAACACATGCGTGCATATATATATATACTTATATATACTTATATATACATATATATATGTATATGTATATGTATATATATATATATACACACACATATACATATATATATATATTTATTTATTTACTTACTTACGCCTTTACATATGTACTTAATCATTTATGTATGCCTGCGCATGTGGGGATGGCGTTTTTGTGAGTGAGCCTCAAGTCCTAAACGCCCTAAACCCTAAACCCAAGCCGGGCCCCTGTCGAAGGCGGCCTCCATCGGCCCACGCGGGTTGGCTCTGAGGCCCCGGTCGGCCGAGGGAGGCCGAAGTCCCTGGGTCACTTCAGAGGTCGCCCTTTCGGCTTTAGGGTCTTTATATTTTCTCGGACACGCCTGGCAAGGTCTGTAGCGAAACTGGTCCAACGACTTACGATCATACTTGGCAAGTACAAATGGGCTGTCAGGCAGGGTTTAGGGTTTATAGGCTTTAGGGTTTAGGGCTTTAAGCCGTACCTCTAGTTATGTCTATGTACCTGGAAGGAGGCATTTAGAGAGAGAGCGGGAGAGAGAGAGAGAGAGAGAAAAAGGAAGAGGGGTGAACGGAGAGACAAAGGCAGATACACAATGAGGGAGAGAGACATAGAGAGAGAGCAAGAGAAGGAGAGACAAAGAGAGAGAGAGAGAGAGAGAGAGAGAGAGGGGGCAAAGTGTGCTACTGTCCTGATATAAGACCAGAGCCGGAGCTGACTGGGCTTCTGGGATATGTAGAAGTGAAGTTTCTGCGGGTGCCACTCTTATGGCATTGATATCTTTCGTGAGAAATTAGCATGATCAGTTGCAGGCTGTTGTGTGCATCAGGTACTGGGCTGCCGCATGGCCGACGATAACAATTTGTGGTTGTGACGTTGCTGTTGCGATACAACGCTGTGACACTATGCGGTCTTTTTCGTTCGTGCACCTCATCCCCATCAGCAACAGCATCATCGTTCCTGTCGACACCATGATGGTCATCATCATCACCACTGCCGGCATGCGAAGATGTCGCTGTTATCCTGTTTCTCATCGCAACCAGTGGTTTCACATTGCCGTCCTACTTTGCTACAGCAGTTCACCCACTAAGTACCAGTGCAGACATGTATCGAGTTTCGATGCTCGCTTCGCACTTTGTACTTGACGACACCAAGGCCAACCCTATACAGCTGAAACAAGACGGCTGCACATCTTGGGGTCCAATCGGGTCGGGCGGGAGAAGCTCCATTCGCATGGAGCTCACTACATGTTGACACACACACACACACGCGCGCGCGAAACCTGAGCCTTCGACAAGACATCCTCGACACTAAAACCTCCAGCAGATGATGATCCTCACCACCGATTGCCGCTGGGTTCCCGTGCTATAAGAGATGCCAAGAGTATCTGCTGCTCGGAAACTGGCAGTGGTCCCGAGGTCTGCACGGCTCTCCACCAGGCAACGGGTCCCAACGTCCGGCATCGGGCCTTCGAGGTGTTTGGCGTCTCTCCCCGTGCATGAAGCCGTGTGCTCTGCTCGGATGAAAGGCAGGTGCCCCCGACCCTACAGCATGTTAGGTCTGTTAGGTGTTCCGGTATGCATCAGACCCTCACATCCGTCGTCTGACACCAGGGATTCAGATCTTGATTCCCAGATTGTCGCTTGGTCTCTAGACCCTCATCCCTTAAAAGCTTTACACCCCTAAGCTCTAAACTCTCGGAAGGCAGAACAGGCAACCTCAGCTCGTAGCCTATCGCCAAAGCCAGTGTCCTCCCAGCCGCGCATCGGACCAGGGCGCATGTCGGTGCTGACAAGGAGGCGGATAGTACAACTCAAAAAGTTTAGTGTGAATAAACATGAAACTAACATGTATAGATGTCTATGTGTATATATATATATATACACGTATACGTAGTCAATACATATACATATGTAGATATAGCTACAGGTAAACATACATACATATATGCAGATAGCGATATAATGTAGATGTAGATAGAGATAGAAACGTAATAGATACCGGTATAAAGTTATATGCAAATATATGTATACACATACATATACACATACATACACATACACATATACATGTACATGTGTATATATATATATATGCAGATTGTATACACATGCATGTGTATAGCACTATCTCTGTTTTATGTGTATGTGTATAAATATATGTACACATAGATAGAAAGAGAGAGAGAGAGAGAGAGAGAGACTTGAATGAATACATGTATGTATGTATGTATGTATGTATGCATGCATGCATGCATGTATGTGAGTATGCATGTATGCATATGAATACCCATCCAAAGGTTTTGAACCTCCAGAACAAGGCCTATGCACAGCATATGTGCATGTATACCACAGGCGGAACTGTCATTTAACTAGCGATGCCTTTGTATTACCTACTACGCCTACAGGCTTCCGCCCCATCCGATCATCCCGATTCTACTCCGTCTGTATCCCAGCCATAAAAGACGCAACGTAATACATGACAGATTATATAATGTAGTACATAAGAAAACTGTCTATCTAACTACCTACCTGTCGACCTAACGGTCTACAATAAGGTACACTATATCGTATAATTCAGAAAAGTTGCATAACTGTCAATCTGTGAAGGCTGCATGTTTCTCACGCGAGTATGAAAGCACCACTACGCGCCGTTTGGGCATTCCTTGGCGGCTTGGACGACAACAAAGCTTCGGTACAAAAAAAATCCGAAGCCAACAGAACGACAGACCGGCACCATCAACTCTGCACCTCCTCTGCTGGGCGAAGGGGTCGCTATACCTCATGCAGCCGAGATTTACCCTGCAGGGCTAAACTCTTGTCAGCTTGAAGATGCCACTCCCCTCGGGTTCTAAACCAAGACTGAAACCCGAAACCTCACTGCAAGGCCAAGGCAGGAAAAGCAGCCTGCGAAATTCAAGATCACGAAAGCTGCCAGCGCTGGAAACAGACCGGCTGCATGTATAGAGCTTTAGGATTTCGAAGAGGTGCAGGAGGAGTAACAGCAAAAGTAGTACAGCAGTGTAACTGGTTGTCGTCCTATTCGAAAACGGTTCGGAGGTCACCAAGAACAACGGAAAACAGTTAAACTAACTTGCATCAGAATTGCCGATCCATGTGCCGAAATGCGTCGACACGGCTGCGGGGAAGCTGCTCTGTATGCCTCTCAGCTCGTCTGGCTGACATTTCTGTATGTCGCTGTGTCTGGATGCACTACAGTACGTACAAATCTCTTTGGTTTGGGCAAGCCTCGGTGGCACGATTCCTGCTGCTACATCAGTAGCAGCAGAGCAACTGTTCAGCTCTGACAGAGCCCTGGGGCGCTGAAAGCTGAAACCCTGAAGATCAAAACCGATGGTAGGGTTTATAAGGTTCCCTAAATCCCAAACCCCAAGGTCCTTCTCTCGGGTTGCGCCGGTTATGTGCGAGGATGAGGTTTGTAACTGCAGTTGCACTGCTATGACTGGGAGCTCCTGGGGGGGGGCCAAAATCCGGCCTCCACCTTTCCCCGAAGTGGTCCGGGATGTACCTGATCAAGTTTGGGGTTTGGGGTTTAGGGTCGCGTTTTCTGCGATGACGTTTCAAGAAACCCTTGGCGACCATTGGGCTTCGGAACTGGCGCCGGTTCAATCATTCAAGACCTGCATCGATCTTCCCGAAACCCAGCAGACTCGAAAAGCCGTCCCTTGCACTCCCAGAGAGCCGCCAGTGATTCAAGTTTCAAGCTGCATGACATTACATGAAGTGTACCAGAACTGAGTATTGACCCGGGTTGTACTGTTGTCTGTCTCCGGCCACCCCTGGGCTGAGATCCGCATCCCGAAACTGCTCCCAGAGATGGTCCACATCTGGAACTCCGCCTCAAAAAACCGCCATACTGTTTATTAAGCTTAAGGGTTGCAAGATAACTTCATGATACCCTATTAACGTTAAAACCCTGAAGGAATTGGTTAGTCAGACTTCGTGCAGCTCGTCTCAGCTCCCCGCTCGTGTTCGCGGTGCCTTCAGTCAGTGGCTATTTCGGCGCAGGCTACTGGGTTTCATATTATGAAGGAACTCTCCAAGCCGTTGAGATAGGCTTTCTGTGCGGCACAACATCATGGAACTATGGGACTATGGGCATTTTTAGTATACAAAGAAAACCACCGATCGAAGCCTATCGCAAAGCCTGCGCTAGACTCTTGATCTTTCGGCAGTCCTGCGCCCCGTTTATACAGCCTCTCTATAGGGAAAGGTTAACAGTGAACATCAGTGAACCCTACGTACTCGGATTCCGCTTGCATAGTTTCATCCAACGAGGATAGTGATGTTCCAACTTTCTGAATTTCTGGCTGCTACTGAAAGAAATTAAACGCAAAGCTGCCGGAAAGTCTCAAATTCCTCAAACTCAAGGCATAAGCCTTCAAGTCTAGGGCTCGTGCAGGCAGGAACCCGGGATGGTTCCGAACTCGGGGGCCTGCAGCCGGTATACGTGGATTGCTCGACAAATGAAGCTCCCTTTGACAGGCTTTGCTACGGCAATGGAGGCCTCCTGGCTTAAGGGATTCAGGCCTTGGGTTTCAACTAGAGCGGACGTGCGTAGAATGGTTCAGGGGAGCAGGAACCCTCCCTTGCAACAGTCCCTAATGTAGGGGCCTAAAAAATTACCAATAGTATTTTGGGGGTTCCTTATTATCACTATAGTATAATGGGCCCCAAAACCCTATTCTAATTATTAAGGTCCCTATATCGGAATCCACGCGCTGCATGAAAAGCTGCAGTGGAGGCTTGCATTGCCACTCACGAAACTCCAAGCAAGCCCGAAATCCGACTCACCGCCGTTCCTGTACGCCCGTGAAGCCTTAGGCTGATATAAACCCCCACACTCCCCCGAGGCCCTCCGACCCCTGCCGACGGGAAGTTCCGAGGAAACTGTGCCTTGGAGATGTCGGAACTGCTCGGATTTGTTCCTCTGACTCGAAGTCCAAGTAAGGAAACGCCCAAACGCTGGAGTTCCAGGATGCATGACAAACATCTAAAGACTTAGATCTAGACCTACGAGTACCCACGACCTGCCTGTTCCCTGCACAACTCGGCATCAGATGTCTGAACAACGACGAAAACTCAAGGGGACCGCGCCCTACAAGATTTACCAGTAAGTTCTGTTTGCATGGCCAGAGTGGGCCACACAGAGCACAGGCATGTTACGTCGATGCCCAGGCCGCGATCAAGCGGTCGATGCAAGCCTGCGGGGATCGGGTGCCAGACTTGGTCAACATTCAGTTTCTGATTCGAATCAAACAACTTCAGACCAACGCTACTACTAGTAGCCTGTGGCGCGTGCCTAGGCGGCCTTACAAAAAGACTTAGTCGTGGCAGGTGTAGTAAGACTAGATGCAACCGAAGCTGTAGCAAGAGCAAGAGCAGTAAAACGAGCAGCAGCGGCAGCAGCAGCGGAAGCAGTGGCTACTGCAGTTGCAATCGTAGTTGTCGGCTGGGTAGTCGTCGTCCTGGTCGTCGTCGTCGTCGTAGCCGTAGTGCAGAGGCATGGTAGTGGTACTGGTAGTCGCAGTCGTCGTGGTGGTGGTGGCAGCAGACCGCGGTCGTAGTCGTAGATGCAGCAGTCGTAGCAGTAGCAGTAGCGGCAGCCAGCAGCAGCCGTCGTCGGCGAAGCCGTAGCCAAACCCGTGTCAGTGTCGCTTGATTCGCCTGTTGAGCTCGGAGGTGGATCGTACGAAGGCATGTTGCTTGTCCACGGCGCCCCGCAGCCACCTTCACGCGGTCAAGACTTGGGGAAGGGTATGGGGCCTGAGGCAGCTATACTGCAATGCTCTACCCTGCTGCTTTTCTCGTCCAGCCCGAGCATTCTCATCAACGAGGAGTTCAACGAACCCTCGCTGAAATCGGGAGCTGTTCTGCTTGGTATGGTGGGTGTGTAGTCTACAGAACATCTGTGTGCACCGGCAAGTGCTGAAGCCGAAATTGCTGCTGTGGTGGCCGCGGTTGATCCTGCTGATGGCGAAAGTCAAGGAACGGTAGTCATAACGATAGCAGCGAAGATGACAGTGAGTATGATGATGGCGATTGCGTTGGTGGTGGGGTCGTGCTCGTGATCGCCGTGATGACGGGTGCATCTCTATGCATATAATTGGTGATGGTGACGATTGCGGTGGAAGTTGGCAAGGCCAATATGAAGATAAGTGAGCAGCCCCTTCATGCTGTAAATCGTTTTGGTGATGAGGCGTTGTGGGTTAGAGAACCGTGGTGGCAGTGATAGTGGCGAAGACGGCGATGAGGATGATGCTGCTGCGAATGATGATGACGGCGTAATGCGCAGCATTTTCGTCATCGCAGTGATAGCGGTGGTGTGGGCGCCAACCAGCAAGATTTCTCATTAGCGCTATGTCAGAGTGCTGTACGCGCATGTCACCTGAAATTCGGCGTCACTTGCGTTTTGCTTGCGCCAGCAACGGGCTGCCAATTCGGGCTTCAGCACCGTCATTAGTGCAGCTGCATGACCATGACCGACCGTGCCCGCTACCCTGGCGTGAAAAATCACAAGAATATCCCCTCCAGCAAGCAGAATCTCTTGCGCATTTTTACACGGCGCACCTACCGAGCTTGCAGTTTTTTCCTTGTCCTGAAGGCCTCAGCCACGTCTACGACTCTACGATCTGAACAGAAAAGCTAAATGTAATACATGATACATACTACTTACTATATAACAAACAATAATATATTAAAACAATGAAAACTTAAAGACAAGAAGGCGACGGCACACGCTCGTGCAGCTGCCTGGCCCTCGACCCAAACTGGGCGCAAACGGCGAAGGGCCTGGTGGGGCCGCAACTGCGCAGTTGAGTTGCATGGCTTTTGGAATTGCCTGCTTGTGACTATCGGGTGTAAGGTCCTGTAATGTTTGAACTGTCGTGTAAGGCACTCTATAGAGCTAGCTGCAGCTTTCGGGGCGGTCCTGGCCATACGACAGATGATGTGCGCAATCGGCCACAACGTCACTATGATCAAGCCCAAACCCAGCTCCCTACACCCCAGGCACTGAAAGCAAAGACCCCGACACATCACCTCAAGCCTCGCTCCAACCACCTCAAACATAGACTGATGTGCTTGAGAAAAAGACATCACGGCCTTATCCTTAACCCCATGTGCCTCCGCAGTCCACATCCCAGAGCAGGAACTGAAGAGGCCACAGGCCCTGTGTAACCCTGCGAAAGTCAACGTCCATCCACATCATTCACCTATCTTCACAGTAATTCGTAGTTGTTAAAGACCAAACGAAATCCAAAACGCACATTTAGGAGAGCCCATTGAAGAGCAACTGTCACGGTGCCTGCTGGTGAGAGACCCCGGTTGGGTCGATAGGCGGGCTGATACATGGCGTCAAAAGCGATCCCTCGGATCCCTTCACGCCCTATGTCAAGCCCCCCTAAGTGGAAGTTGGGGGTCGTCTCAGAATACCGGCCTGTTGCTAGGGGGCTGCGGTCATCGCGAGAATGCCGGGTTCTAGATTTCAGGGTGAGCCTCAAGCAAAAAACATTGAAACAGAACCCCGCGAAGGATTTGTCTCTGCTGTGCTCTTCGGGGCAATGATTCATGGAAATACAAAAGTCTCGAGCAACTCGCGGTCGTGCCATGTCCTGAGCAATGCAACGCCTGCCGCCTTCAGGCAATGGCACTTTCTGCTGCGATTCAAAAGGCCGCCAGGGCCGGGAGCCCTCGTTTGCATGAGTTGAAGAAACTGTCATGCTCGAAGGACCAGAACTTTAAACAGGGCTTATGGTTTGCAGGGCTTCGGTTGTCAAACCTATGCGGCGAGAAGTGGAAAGAGGCCCCTACATTGCATGGAGCTGCTCGGGTTGCTTGAATTGTCCAGTTCCTGTTGCCATTGCCACTGCAATTGTTGCATGCTTGTGAGCAGCTGCACATGATCTGCGAAGTGGCAGGCACCGTATCATCAACCTTCTGGATAAGCGCGTACATGTAAACCTCAGAGCAGGAGTGACGTAATCGACAGCAGGACTGGAAGGAACTCTTGCAAAGCGAGCGTGCGTAGCAACAAGCAGCACATGCTGCTGATTGTATATGTTTGTATGTGTGTATATATATATATGTACGTAAG